GAGCACCGGTCCCTGGTGCCAAAAAGGTTGGGGACCGCTGATCTAGAGGATTATCACTGTGGACCAATCCAGAGGCTAAAAACACAGAACTAATTCTTCCTAAGAATGTACTTTTTACTCTAAGAACCCTCAGCTTTTCTTTCTTCTTCAAAATACTCTGGTTACTGCCCAGTGTGTTTCCAGTTTGCAAATTCTAAGACCCTTGAATAAATCTTGATCATTTATTTCTAGCCAAAGTCTCCACTCTTTTTGAGTTCATTCGACACAGTACTGCATCTTTCCTTGTTAGCTTCATCTGCTCCCCACTGGGGTGGAAGCTCCCTAGGGCAGGGATGTTGTAGGGTCCTCCATGGCTACTTCTGGGCGCAAGCACAGTGCTGAGCCACAGAAACCATGACAGTGTCAACATTCGCTGTCCATTTACCTGTGCCAGCTCTGTTCTGCACAAGTATTAATCACGTAATCCCCACCACAGCCATGAAATACAGGTAATGTTATTATCATCCCACTTTTCCAATGAATAAACTGACACACAGAGAGGTTAAGTCACTCACTTAAGGCCACATAGCCACACAGGAAGTGGTGGAGCCAACATACAGAAGGTGACCAAATTAATGGTCTTGAACGAATGAATTCCTATTTCAGAAACAAAGAAAGTAAGGCTCAAAGGGGAATGGGGATAACTAGGGTGTCTAGGGGTAAACCCAAATCCTCAGACTCTGAGAGCCGCACCATCTTCCCCTCCCACTGCCTGGTTGCCGTCTGGTGGGAGAGCAAGGTCGGAGCCTAGCACCCCGTCAGCAAGCATGGAAAGACTCAGTGCCAAGACCTGGGGTTGCCAGCCTCCCTCATAATTAAAGACACACATTAAAGACAGCTCTAAGATCCATTAAATATCCATTAAGCTAGCAAAAATAAATCCAGAAGGTAAAGCTCGGGTTGGCAGACTGTGGAGAGCAAAACGCATGCACACGTCGCTGACCGCCCTGAAAACAGCCTCAGAGTTTCCAGAAACCAATAAAACCACCACAGCCCTTTGACCCAGCACACTGGCATTTGAGAACACGCCCTGAGGAAGGAGCCCAAAAGGAAGCAAAAATAAAAACATGTCTGAAGCTCCCCTGGCCAAATACTGGAGATACCCAGATGTCCACCAGGAGTACCCACCTGAGCCGCGGCTTGTGGACAAAATCCCACCTTTGCCTTCACCTGCTTTGCTCAGTCCCCTCCTCTCCTCCTCTCAGTTTTAGGACTCACCCCAGGCTATTCCCACCACCTGGAACACCCTTCCCACCTCTGTTTACCTGGCTATTGCCTATCTATTCGTCAGGCACAGCTAGAAGTCATTTTCTCCCTCCCTTATTCCCATGGGGTGGGAGGAGTTGTGGGCAGGGTCTTCTGTAATACCCCAAACTCCCTGACCCAGGCTTCCCCCTCACAGCGCCACTGTGCCGATTAGAAGTGCTCACCCAGGGTCTGGCACCCCTACTAGACTATGAGCGCTTTGAGAAACCCCTCCAGACCCGACCCGGGCTGTGCTGCAATTCTATCAGAACACATTCTGAGTGCCTGGAGTTAGCCCTATAGTGATGCCAGCAAGGCCCATGCCTGGCATATTCACCACTGTGTCCCTGAGCCCAGCCAAACACAGTGCCTGGTGCAGAGATGAGTCTCAGCAAACAGCCACTAGACGCAAGACACCTGATGTGACTGTGAGGGTACACAGGAGCAAGCAGAAACCCCAAAGGTCGGAACGTGCCTTTCATAACTGCATGAGGATGAGCACACATGCATCGCAATGTTCAGGGAAAAAACCAAGCAGCTTCATCCGGGGAGAAATCTTTGAGATTATACATCTGTCTTTTGCAGTGATGATGGTTACACAACTTGGTGAATGGACTAAAAGCCACTGAATTGTACACTTTTAAAGGGTGGATTTTCTGATTTGTGGATTATATGTCAAAAAAACACTCCGTCTTTAATGAAGCTGAGGGTATGGCCCACATGGACTAGTCCAAGGAAGGGTCTGGAGACAGGCCGTCGTCCCCAGGAAACAGGACCAACCTGGGCTTCAAAAGTGAATGATTTGGGCAGAGTTAAGAAAGGGAAGGGCGCCCCTGGTGGCAAATATTGCTGAGGAGATGCCGAAGAGGCAGAAGCGAGAAGACCCACAAGCTAAGGAATTGGGGTGACTGTGAAGGCGAAGGTTGCACAGACAGAGGCTTAGAGAGGGATCACTTGGGACATGAGGCCACACAGGGATCTAGGACAACTTAGTATGTGCCCCTGCCAAGGCTGAAGGGAGCAGCAGGGAAGTGACACTGAGAGCCCCAAAGGTCCCTCTGCTCAGACAAAATCCCCCCCATGTGGCCCACAGTGCTTGTTGTTCACCCAATATCCTTTCTCCCTTCGTAACAGAACCCCTGATTTTTTGGTCAGACACATGGCAGCCTGGAGTAAGTCGATATTTCCCAGCCTTTCTTATATGACAACGTGAATAAGCTCTGGCCAATGAGATTTAAGTGGAAGTGATGTGTGGCAGCTTCCAGGAGAACCTTCTTAAAAGGTATGGGTCTTGTATCTCCTGTTCCCTGTTTCTTCCTCCTTGCTGGCTGGGCTATGGCTGTGATGGCTGGAACTCACACAGTCACAATGGACTGTGAAGCAGAAGCCACGTGACAGAGTAGTAAGATGGAAAGAATGTGAGTCCCTAATAATCATGGAGCTGCCGTACCAGCCCTAGATTGCCACCCCTCCTACTACTTATATCTGTGAGATAAGCCTGTGCTCACGCACTTGTATTTATACCACCCCCAAGCAAATCCAGTCCTACTTCAGACCTGCTGTGGTCCGTGTTATGCTGAAACAATGGGAACCAATATCCAGAAAGCTGGGGAAAGGATAGCTTTCTCTCTCTCTCTCTTCCTTCCCTTCTCTATTCCTTTCCAATACATGCTTTGAATATTTCCTGTGTCCCCCGTCCTGAGCAGGGCAACTTACCTGTGTTAAGTAAAAAAAAAATATAATTCCCGGTTCAAGCAGGGAGAGTTGGTGCCAATATAAATAACATGGCAGACTGATATGCAGGTTTCCTAACACCATTATCCTAACTTCTCCAGAAGTTATACAAAACACATACATGCCCACACGTATTTTCCTTCTCCACTGTCACTCCCCAGTGCCTGTGTGGCCAAACCCCAAACTTGACCAACGGGGCGTGTTCCTTTGGGGCCAGCAGCCTCCAATACTATGGAGAATCCTGGAGGCCTAGAGATAATAAACAACAAGAGAGTCACCAGCCCTGACCACTCACTGAGCGCGGCCTGCCCTAGCCAGCTCTGGGGGCTGAGCCCCAGCAGATGGCCGGGGAGGGCCCCTCCGCCTGGTGCCGACTGGACCCACAGCAAGACAGCACCTCTCGGTCAGCAAAGCTCCCCAGAGGCCAGCTGACTGGCTCAAATCTGAACTCCTCTGAAGTAGCTATATGAGCCAGCCCCACTGATTTCACCTCTCTGTGCAATAACAGTGCACACCTGAGCGAAGAAATGGAGTCAAGCAGCTAAATTACCAGAATCAAGTAGGTTGAGGTATGAAGAAATGATTCTGTTCTCGTTTTAACCTGGGAACTTGAACTTTCCAGTCCTGTGTCAATGCCTGGATACACAAGCATACCTCATTTTACTATGCTTTGCTTTATTGCATTTCACAGGTGTTACATTTCTTTTTACAAATTGAAGACCCTCCACCAGTAAAAAAAAATTAGGACTCGCTTTATTACAGTGGTTTGTAACCAAATCCACCATCTCTCTGAGACACCGCTGTACATCAAACCTCTAGATAACCCTCTGGTAACCCACTGAAGGACTAAGGAAAGGATGCTATCTAGACCACCTGCCATCCATTATCTAAACCACTAGTCATGTAAATTACCATCATGGACCAATCCAGAGGCTACGAATGTGGGACCCATTCTGTCCAAGAATATATTTTTTACTCTAAGAACTCTCAGCTTTTCTTTCCTCTTTGGAACATTCTGGGTATTGCCTACTTGTGTTTCCGGTTTGCGAACCCTGAGACCCTTGAATAAATCTTCATTGATTTCTAGCCAAAGCCTCCTGATTTCATTTCACTTGGTCAACACATCCCACAGGATCACTGTCGTCATGAGGATTTTTACTATACCTGAAGCGCTTGCCCCACGTAGGCTGTGAGCTCCTAAACACAGCAGGCGCCTGGTAATCGCTGCTTGCTATCAAGCACATGGCTTCCCAGAGACAAAAGGCAAAAGGCCCAAGAGCAGGGCCTGTAGAAGGCAATGGCCCTCAGCCCCAAACCCTGCTGGCCTCCCCGATCCCCAGCCTCTCACAGTACATCCACCACTGATCAGACCTCACCACCATCTTCTCCCCTCCACAGCTTATCTAGTCTCTTCTTTCGGGGAGCCCTCCTGGACTGAACCAGCATTGCTTCTATTAATGAAGCTCTTACTGCCAGATGGCCCCAAGGTGCCAGGGGCCCTTCCTGGGATATGGGTACTTCTGGTAGGGGCTCAACAGTCTGAAAAAAATAGTAGGGCTGGGGCTTGGCCCAGGTGGGGATCAGGTTGCCTAGAGCCAAAGTTCCTACCCTATGGTTTACGATCTAAATGAGATCAACCAGCACCCAGAACAAATGCAAAAGTCCTGGGTGTGAGCCAAGCTTTTGTCTGACTAGGGCCTTTCCAGATGTGCTTCCTCTGCACAGACTGCTCCCTCCCTTGCTCATCAGAGCACTTGCAAGCTGCCTCAGGATGTGAAAGACTTATGAACAATACATATGCCGCTTGCAGACTGATGCTTCATAACACCTCCTTCAAGAAGCCTTCCCTGATTACTTCTTAAATTAAATCGAGGTCCCCTATATTAGTGCCCCCTCAGCCCCTGCTCACTACTGCAATGGCTATGACTGTCATGAGGCCCGGGCCTTAGCAAATCAGCAATTCAAAATCAAGGAAACAGACATGAACCAAAAGTGTTTATTGAAGAAATCTAGCCAAAGTTCCAATCGGGTGGCCCTAGCTGAGGCTGGGCTGGGGCCCTCTGCCTTTAGCTGGGCAGGTGAAACAAAAAAGGGTAGGAGTGTATCTGGGCCCAGGGCCTCAGAGCTGCGAGAGGATGTTGGGGGCCAGGCTGCAGGTGAGGCCTGTGCCATCCGGCTCCACGTTCAGAGCCTTCACTACACCATCTTCGATCACCATGGAGAACCTGCGAGAAAGAGGGCGGGATCAGTTACAACCACCTGGGCCTGGAGGCAGCGAATGGAGATGGGAGGGTAGCAGGAACACCCCACAGAGGATCCCCCCACTTTTACCTCTTGAGCCGTCGATTCCCAAAGAGGGGCACCAATGAATCATCTAGCAACAAATCCGTCTCCTAAGAGGAGAGGCAGAGAAAAGGGTCGGGAACCCCCAGAACAGGCCCAGCCCTCCAGCTGCTCCCTACATTGTCCATGTCTCTCTAAGTCCCTGATTCCAAGGTGTGGCGGCACAGGGACCGCCTGGTAAGGTGGGAGCTGAGGGTACACTCACCTTCCCAAAGGCCCCAGTGGGATCAGCCAGGAGCCGAACCTAAGGAGAAAGTAAAGGTCACAAGAAAAATCTCCTGCCTGGCCCCTGATCCCCTGCAGGACCCGCACCTCACCTTGCCTTCTGCATTATGGGCTCGTCCCCACTCTTCAGTCACGAAGACATCGTTAACACTCAGACATGCCACCACCTGGACCCCCTTGGCCTTCAGAGCCCCAGACTGATTCACAAACCCTGGCAGGTGGGTCTGGGGAGGGAAAACAAAGGGTCAACGAAGGGACAACTGCCTCTGCTCCTCAGCCTACTCTTTACTTCCAGGCCTTCCTCACTTCCCTGCTCCAACACTTTTCATCAGACAATGAGAACTGTGGAAGCCACAGTTCCTTTATGCCTTGGCTACTAGGAAGCTCAGATCCATACTTAAGTGTTCCGTAGTCAAGACAGAATTTCCTGTAAGCATAATCATACCTATTTTCCCGAGGCCCAAGTACCTTCCACAGTGCCTGTCACCCAGCAAGGTCAATAAGAGGTATTGGATTTCACTGTAGTACCCTTTCTCCTGCATTCCTGGTACCACTACCTTTCCGCAGCCTCTACCTGTTTTCTGAACACTGATGTGTTTTTTAACTGTCAAATCATCTACATACTATTGTTGCAAGCTGCCTCAGGATGTGCAGGACTTATGAACAATACAAACATGTACACAAGATCTCAACTGCTAAGCCCCAGAAGGGCAGGACCTCACCTTGGAACAACCGGGGGTAAAGGCCCCAGGGACTCCAAAAAGCACCCCCTTCTTGCCCTTGAACAGCTCTGCCAAGTTCACTTTGTTCTCAGGCTTCCCTTCGAACACCACCACAGACGGGATGGTATCTCCCACCTAGAGGGAAGGATTCCAAGGTAATGGTCAGGCGGTGGGGAGCAGTTAGGGAAGCCAAGGGAAGGGGAGCAAACCAGAGCCAGGGGGACAGAGGGCCTAGTAGCCATGCCTGGTGGAGCCAGGGTTGACATCTGGCAAGAAAGTGGAACCCTGTTGGAATTTCCAGAGGCCCCTCCCTGTAGCCCTCCCCTCTCCCCCCACTGCCTGGTTACCTCACATCCTCACCAGGTTTCAAGGTGGCCCTATGCCTCTTGAGGGCCTATTGGTGACAACAGAAAAAGGGAAAGAAGGCCTCCAGGGTGTCGCAAGGAGTTGAGTAAACAAGTTCTCTGGGTAAGAAGTGGGATAACTGGATAGACGGAAGAGGAGGCCGCCTTTCCGAGGGGGAGGAGGAGGCCCCGACAAATGAAGGTCCCCGTGTCCCACTCTCAAAAGAGACAAAGGGAGGGCAGCAGAAGGTGGGGAAGTTGGGAGAGGGGTGCAGCTCCCTACATCCAGGGGGTATAAAGTAGAAGGAATCTCTTGAAGGGGGAGAGACCGACCTCCCTGGAAGCGTGAGGGCTTCTGGGCGGGAGGAAGACAGAAAGGACGGAAAGTCAGGGGTTGGGCAGTCTCTGAGAAGCCCGGTGGTCAGGAGCAGGATGGAGCAGGGGGCGAGAGGGGTGTCTCAGAAGAGTGGAGAGGGGCCTGGGATTGTTCAAAATGAGAGGACTGAAAGCCTCAGTAGAGGATGGGCATTAGCCGTGGGAGGAGCGGAATGGGAGAGACACAGTGGGGGCTCTAAGAGGCGACACCTGTTTCAGAAGATTGGGTCACAGGGATGCCCAAAAACCCGACAAAAGCGTCCAGGGGATATGGCGGGGATTAAGTACGAGGGCTAAAAAGGGCCCCTGGGACAAAGGAGAAGGCTCCAGAAGGTGGAGGTGGCCATGGTATTAAGTCGTCTGAAAATGGTAGCGACCCATCACAGGGTGCCACAAGGTGGATATAGAAGAAAAGGCTCGAGAGCCTCGGACACCATCCCAGGAGATGGTGAATGAGTAGACGGTAAACGGCGGGGGGGAGGGGGGCAGGGAGGGCAGCCACGGGGTTTCGTTGAGGAAATAAGAGGGACAGGCGGCGGGGAGAAGCCCGCAGGGCAGGAAAGAGGGAAGCCAGCAGGGTTTGCCTTCAGCGGGACGGAGGGCTTTGGGGAGATGGGGGCGAGGGGTGGCCAGGCCTGGGCGGGTCAACATGTCACCTTGATCGGGGCCATAGCTGCAGCGGCGCTTCTGAAACCGCGGGCCTTGCCAAGCGTCCACTGTAGACCTCCTTCCAGGTACGCTCTGGCTGCCGCCGCTGTCGCACAATGGATGGCAACTGCCCGGACAGGTACCGAGCTGGCACAGTGGGCCAGGACGTACATAATGTCAGCTCCACGCCCGGCCCTGAGACCACAACCTCGCCACCCGGTCCCGCCTCCCCACCCCCCACCGGGCTGCTGCAGGAGGCGGGGGCTGGAGCACTAAGCTGCAGAGGGACACTGCAAAAGGCGGGGCCTCAACCGCCCGCCCTGCGTGCCGCCTCCACTACGTGGGCGGTGCCTCGGGGGCGGAGCTTCCAGAACTTTGGGTTTATTTAAATTAGGGGCCCGAGCGCTGGCGCAGTTGCAAACAAGCGGAGCTTTCCGAGGCTGTGGTGCTTTTTTGCAGGCAAGGATTGGGTTTCCCGTTTTGATGGGCCTGACGGATTGGGGTAATGTTTCCATTCCTTAACCGAAAGCAAGGGGCGGGAGACGACGGTGTCAGGCGTTTGTGTAGGAGTAAAACATGTTTATTTTGCATTCAACGAAAGCCCCTGCATTGCGGCTGTCTTACGTATGGTTTGCACTGTACATGATTTGTAGCGAGTGCGGGTTAGGCTCAGCCAAAACCGCTGAGCCTGCGCGGTAGCAGCCTCCTGCCGGGACGCTTCCGGTAGCAACCCCTGATCCGACCAGGCCTTGGCAATAACTGGGCTCTGGTGGAGACCGGAAGTTCCAGTAAGTTCGCCGCTTCCGCTCCTCTCAGCTGTCCAATAGAGAGCGGAGCGGCCCCGGAAGTGACGCAGCGGAGGGTCAGCCTCCTTCCGTTTCTGGCCCGGCGAGAGAGCATTGCGGAGACATGAAACTGCTTACCCACAATCTACTGAGCTCGCACGTGCGAGGGGTGGGGCCCCGTGGCTTCCCCCTGCGCCTCCAGGTACCGGATGGGGGACGGTCTCGCGCCCCTCTCCCTGGAAAGATAAGGGAACCAGGCTCCGGTCCCTGCCTAACTAAACCCCTCCGCCCGCAGGCCACCGAAGTCCGCGTCAACCCTGTGGAGTTCAACCCAGATTTCGTGGCGCGTATGATTCCCAAAGTGGAGTGGGCGGTGCTTCTGGAGGCGGCAGATACTGTGAGGACCCACCCCGTCCGTGCCCACCCGGTGGCGGAGACCACAGCCCTTTGCACCAGGCCCAGGTCTGGGATGCTCAGAGATGATTTAGGCCTCTCGCCCACAGTTGCATCTGATCGAGGTGCCCAAAGAGCCGATTCAAGGGTATGAGCAGGATGAGACGTTTCTGAGGAAGATGCACCACGTGCTGCTAGAGGTGAGAACTGGCCCATCGCTTGCTTCCCCTACGGTGCAGCCACCCCCGGAGCCTGCCAGTGCAGCGCTGTTTCCCCTCTTCCCGCAGGTGGATGTGGTGGAGGGGACCCTGCAGTGCCCAGAGTCTGGACGTGTGTTCCCCATCAGCCGCGGGATCCCCAACATGTTGCTGAGTGAGGAGGAAACCGAGACTTGATCGTGCCAGGCACCAGATTTTCATTCTGTGATCGTGTGTACTTTGTTTATATCCTGTTTGTTAGTTTTGTCATGTGCATCCCCAACTTCTGACCCAGTAACACACCACACACAGTGTTCTTGAGCTCGATATATTTTTTTCTCATTAAAGGTTCAAAACCAAAAGCGGTTTCTCTTTGCAACAAATATACATTAAAATAGAGTCTCTGTACAGCCGAGGGCTCTGGGCCCTGGCTTGCCCCATGTCCCTGCACCTCCCTGGCCAAACCGAAAAATAAATATAGTGTTATTGCTCTGCAGGGCATAGAGGCAGTGCTCTCCCTACCCCCTGAGGAGGCTGGGTGGGAGCTGATGGGGGGCCCTGGCCATCCCAGGGGTCCAGTGGCTGGAGCCTGCTTGGAGTTATTGCTTCGGGGTGGGGGGGCAGTAATGCCCAATGCAAATGATGAGAGGAGAGAAGGGGGCAAGGGCCTTTGCTCTCCAAATTCCCCTCTGCTCTGGAGAGGGGGTCGGATTAAGCAGCAGCAAAAGCATCACCCACTGGGAGACTGTGGCCTCCACTCCCTTCCCTCCCTGAGATCAGGCTTTTGCCCCCCACACATCCTCTGTAGCCCCCTATGGCTTCCGCAAGGCCCCCCTACACTCTGGGGGCACGTTATGGCTTGCAAGGGGCAGCACTGTGCCCAGAGCCTGGGCACACACGTTCCCAGCTTCTAACACCCCCCCAAGGAAGGGGGAGGGGAGGGCGTAGGGCCTGCTCCCAGGGGCTGATGGTATTGCCCTGGCCCTGCCAGCAGGCTGTGGCACTGCCCAGACCCCAGCTCTGCCCCGTTGGGGCTGACCCCATGCTGGGCGGGTCCTGCCAGCACCCCCACCCATTCCCACCCCTTGCCTCAGTCCATCATGGCCTCGAGCATCTCCAAGAACAGCTTGTGCATGGGCACCTTGCCCTCCAGCTTCACCCCATAGAAATGGGCCAGCACTTTGCCCGCTGTCTGGCGGAGGAGCGGTAGTGTGAGCAGCAGTCTGCCTGCCCGCCGCCGCTCAGCACCCCCTCCGGGGCCTGCCCGGCCAGCTTCGTACTCCAGCAAGGCCTCATGGAGAGCTTCTCGCAGCTGCTCCACCGCCTCAGCATCTTCAATGTGCACAGAGTCTGCAAGGGGAGGGGAGAGAGCTGTTGACGCGGGCCATCTCCAGGAAAGGCAGAGCGCACACATGCTCGGGCACTGCTGGATGGGCCTGCAGAGGTGCCAGACAGGGATTTGCTAATTGGCTTCCTGAGGCACCACTGTTGTTCCTGCCATGAGCCAGGGCCTACCCTTTCAACTATGGCCCCTTGTGTCCCCTCGGTCTTCTTTCCCACTAAATCACCTTTCCACATGAGTGTGGCGGCACTAAGGTTCAAAATCCTACGTGCAGTTCCTAGGCCTGCCTTTCCCTTGCTTTGTGGCTTTCAGCAAGTCACTATTCTTCCCTGTGCCTTAGTTTTCCTTGTCTGCAAAATGGTACTGTGCCACCATCAAAGAGTTATGGAGGGCCTTACGGACACCTGTCGGTGCCTGCCCAGCCTCACCTGAATTGGCAAGGGCCAGGGCCTTCAGCACCCCCCCCCGCTCCAGCCGTAGGGCCTGCAGTCGCCGCACCAGCTGCAGCAGGGCAGCCCCGAGTTCCCCCAAACCAGCTGCTCGCGCCCCCTCTTCATCCAGAACCAGGTCCTCAGCAAAGGCCAGCTCATCCTGCAGCGGCAGTGAGCGCTGGGCCACGCCCAACACCAGTACCTCCATCCATACGCTCTGCAGTACTGACATCTGGTCAGACAGCGACAGTGACGAGAAGCCTGGAAGGCAGTAAGGAGCAGACCTGGCTAAGGAGGTGCACCAGAGCCAGGCATGGCCTAACCTACCCAGAGAAGCCCCATATCACCTGGCCCTTTACCTGGGATGCTCTTGGCCCAGCTGATGGTGACCACAATCTCTCGGTCAAAGAGGTCACAGAGGGTAGCCACTGCTGGGAGGTGTCCATCAGGTCCCGCTGGGTCGGGCATGGCATACAGCTTCTCAGGCTCCACCACCAGTAGATGGGACACCAGTGCATTCACTGGGGCTGCAGTGACAGTTGGAAGAGGCACTGGAATTCATCAGCCTGCAGGCCCTTTGGGGTCAAGCATCTTCCCAGAGCCAGTCCCCCCGTGGCCTTCCTCAACAGCCACTGGCCAGCAAGCTCAGACATCTCTGGGAAGGGCTCTCCCTGTCTCCCAGGGGAAGCCAGTCTGTGGATAGGTTCTGAGAGTTAGAAAACCTTTCCCTGTTCCCCAGTTGTACTCAAGAACTGACACAGAAAAAGGTATTTTCAGAATACTTCTTAGGGGAAATGAATAAGTGAATAGACGAAAGGGAAACCAGGGTTCCAGTGCCCAAGATAACTACTATCCTGGGTGAATGACGCCAGATAGGCCTCTCATATCCTGGCCCCACCCAGATTCTTCCCTTGAGTTCCAAGGACCCACAGTGCACTCACCTGTCTTCCGAGGGCCTCCAGCTACCGCCAGGGGCCCAGCGGAGAAGGGGCCTGGGAAGGGCAGTGGGTCCACTTCTGGCCGCCGCTTGTACTTCTGTCGCCCACCCCGGACACGGTCCAGACGTACCCCTTGAATCGTAGGACAGGGCTGTGTCCATGGGGCTGGGGGTGGCTCGCTGTGCAGAGCCCTCCTGCCCAGTCCATTCTGCCGCAACTTCTCAGACCTTGCCCTCTCCAGCCCCACGCACCCAGCTTCCCCAGCCCTTGCCAAGGCCCCGGCCCAGTGCTCACCCTCCTTGAGCATGCCCACCCGCAGGCACTTGGTGAAGCGACAGGCCTGGCAGGCCTTGCGTCTCCGCTTGGTGATCTCACACTCGTTGGAGGCCGGACAGCTGTACTCGATGCTCCCTGCCAGGAAGAGGCAGGGCTCCAGTGGCGGCCTCCCAGGGCCCGGAGGGGGCCCAGCAGACAGGAGAGCCCTGACTCGCCCCGGGCAAGCACAGGTCTGGGGAGAGCAGGAGTGCCGTGAGTGGAGCAGGGAACCCCAGGGCAGTGAGGGGAATGGCTGCTGGGCTGGGGGCCCCTGTCTGGGCAAGAGAAGCTGGGACCAGGGGCATCAGGCTGCATCTGCCTCGTCTCTGTGCTCTGCTACCCTCGCCTGCTCTCCTCAGGGGCCATAGTGGCCTCTCCATTGCTACCTCTGATGATCAATTCTCATCTTCATCTTACACAGCCTAAAGGAGCATCTAACGCTGTTGAGCACATCCTACTCCTAGAAACACTTCCTTTGCTTCTAGGACACACTTCTGGTTTTCCTCCCACCCCACTGGCCACCTCGTGATTTCTGGTGAAGAACCCCAGGGCTTCCCTTGGACCTCGTCTCCACCAACTTGTGCCCATGGTGATCTCACCCAGTTGTGGGCTTTCAAATTTTCTCTCCTGTCTAGATCTGCCTGGACTTTAGACTTGTATCCCACTGTCTCCTTGACTTGCTGCATGTATAGAAGGCCTCAAAAACCTCACTGTCCTAAATGGAGCCCCGATATGTCCCTCCAAAACTTGCAACTCCAGCTGCTCGAGCAGAAACCCAGGAGACATCTTTGATTTTCTCTCATACCCCAAATCCCAGTCATCAGTGGATGCTGGTGGGCTTTACCTCCTGGTATGTCCAGAAACCAACCTCTTCTCCTGGCAAGCACTTCCACTCTTGACCCAAGTCACAGCCACCTCTCCTCCTCACTGGCCTCCTGCTGTGCCCTTGCTTCCTTCAGTTACTCTCCACATAGCAGCTGGAAGCACCCGAAGTCAGATTCTGTCCCTTCCCTGCTCAAAACCCGCTAAGCATGTCCCTTCTCACAATAAAAGCCCAAGTGAACCCCACAACCTGAGGCCAACAGCCCTGCTCCTCACCCTCTCTTCTGACCTCATGCCCTCTGCACTCTGCTCTGGCTCCAGGCCCCTGCCTCAGGGCCCACGGCCCTTCAGATCTCTTCCCTTGTCACCTTGGGGAAGCCTTCTCTGGCCACCCTGTGAGAATACCAAATGTCCTCTGCGGGCATCTTCAGCCACTTGTCCTTGCTTTAGTTTCTTCTCAGCTCTCAGCACCATCTGATATGCTACATACGTATTTATCGTATTTATTATCTGTCTCCCCACTTCAGTGTCAGTTCCACGAGGGCCCCCTGTTAAAAACAGGACCTGGCACATAGTGGGCACTCATAATAACCAGCTGAATGAATGTATGGCGGCCCTCCCGGCCTCACAGGGATACTGCAAGGACTGAATGACACGACCAGCCAACACGCCCTTGATGCGTTTCTCCTCACAGCATGCTTTCTCCTACACCCTACCCAGGCTTCCACACGTAGCTCAAAACACCTCCTCAAGGAAGCCCTCGGGTTCAGCCAGGTGCCTCGGCACATGCCCTTGGCTCCTCGCCCTCCAGCACTTACGACAGCTGAACTGTAACAATTGTGTGCAATTCTTTGTTTTCTCTCTCTCCCCTCAACTAGAATGTCAGCCGTTTGAGGACAGGGTGGTCCTGCCTTAGTCCCAGCTATGTCCCCATACCTGGAACAGTGGCCAGGGCAGCAAAGCACAGATTTGTGAAGGCTCTGAAAACTGCCTGGGGCCCATCCTGATGCTTCTACTTACCAACTGTGCAACCTTAAGTGAGTCTTGCATCTAACCCTCAAACTCTCAGTTTTCCCATCTATAAAACTAGGGTGATAAAAACAATACTTACAAAGGTGGGTTGTGAGAATTCAAGGAGGTAATTGAAGTAACACATTTAGTATGGTTCACAACACCTAAATATTCAATAAGGATTACTATTTATAGCTAGTGCTCAATCAATATTTGTCAACTGAGTGAAAACAGAATGGGTAGGAGACACCTAGACCTGGACCTGTTGGCTCACTGGTTTTCAAAGACAGCAGGGAGCACAGACGTTATAAACTATTGGGTCTTGGCCAAGTCAAAATTCACCAGAATGTCACAATCATTCGAGAGGCACCTGTCCAAAGTTCAGTTATTAGTAATAAGCACAGGGAGCAGTCTGGTCTTTGAGAGTTCAACTCTGGATCTAAATGGACCCAAGTTCAAAACCTGGTTCTGCCACTTTCTACCTTTGGGCCTTGAACAAAGTTTTAAAAACCTCTCTGGGCTTCGGTTATGATAGCGGTGCTGGCACTTTATAGGTTGCTATGAGAGTAACTGAGATAATGAATATAAAGGGGCACAGTGCCTGGTAAGCACTCAAGAAATGTTCCCAAAAATTATACGTTACAGCCCCAAAGTAGCCAAAGGTTTACATAAAAATATAAATAACAGGTACATTCCTAGTAATGCTCACTACATCACCATCCTGCTCACTCATATTTTGATATGCGCCTCTGAGTGAGAAAAATTCACTGAGTCCTATCAGCAGGGATGACCAATAGTCATATTATTATTATTATTATTATTACGCCTACAGCACCTGGTCTTCCTAGGTAGTCTCCCATCCAAGTACTAACCAGGCCCGACTCTGCTTAGCTTCTGAGATCAGCCGGGATCGGGCTTGTTCAGGGTAGCATGGCCGTAGACTCAATAGTCTTTTTAAAGTTAGATATTACAATGGGGTGTAGCCCCTCTAAATTAGCCATAAAAACCTGCCTTGTGCTGGTGCTGTTGCTGCTTTGGGGAGATCAACATAAAGGGGAGCATGTTCTATACTGGTGAGAGGCCAGCAGCTGCTAGAGCAAGAACACAGCTTAGAAGCAAGCAGAGACTGTCTTGAATTTTTCAGAGCCACTGTGGAAAGTGCTGGGCCAACTGTACTCAGAAACCTAGGAAGCACCCTAAGTTCTCTCTCACATCCTACATCCAATCTATCAACACATCCTGGTGGCTTCATTTAACTTTTAAGGGAAAGAAATGTGGGGGGTAAGAGGCCCTGAGAACACCCGACTGCCAAGTCCAAGTGGTACCATGGCAGTCTGGGCATCTAGTGCCACCCAGCAGGGTGCCAATTGGGTAATGCCAGGCCCAGAGACAAAGGGCACAGGAGAGGGGTGGGGGCTCACCCTGGATGGTCCTTTTGAAGAAGGCTTTGCAGGCCTCACAGGATGCCACACCGTAATGGTAGCCGGAGGCCACGTCCCCACAGACCAGGCAGAGGCGTTTGGGCAGGGAGCTGAGCACCAGCTTCCCACCACCCTGCTCACCAGGCCCAGCCCCCTCCCCATCCTCCTCTTCCTTGTGGCCTGGGAGGTGGCGAGTGGGAGCTGGGCCAGGGGCCAGGGCCACAGAAGGCTCGGTCTCAGTCTCCGAGGAACCCTTTGGACTGTCGGGGCTGGCTGGCTCTGCCTTGATGTAGAGAGGCTCAATGCCCACCACCTGGCTGGACATGGCGCTGGTCACCTGTGGGAAGAGACCTAGCGGGTCAAAGGGAGGCGCTAGGTTGGGGGATGAAGAGATACCCTGCCACCCTGGTTGCCCAACCCCAGGCCTAGGGCCAGGCTTCCAGGCTAAGCCAGGGAGTGGGAGGAAGAACAGAGTTCAAGGAAGAGCTGCCCCGTGAAGAGAGCCCCCCAGCTGTTGCCATGGGAACAGAGTCTCCAGAGCCTCCAGAGCCTCCAGAGCCTCCAGGGCCAGTAACTGACAGCAGGTCTCCCACTTGGGAACTTGCAGGAGGCTTGGAAACCCCCTATTCCCACCCAGGCCAGGAAGCAGGGTAACCTTGGCCCCAGGCGACCTTCAACCCTATTTGGAATCCCCAGCTAGAAGCAGGATACCTCTCAATTTTCTCCAGATGTTAGGGACCTCAGTGATCTCCCCCTTACCTGAGTATCCTCCATTCAAGAGCACAGGGCACACAAACCCAAGGGCAGTTTTAGTGCTCACACATGTGTGTTCACACCCTCACACAATCCCACTCACCTGGGTTCTCAGGTGTCCTCACATGCTCACACATGCTCATTCTCACACATGGCCCTACCCAAGCCCAGTTCTCACTCATCCTCTGATATGCCTTTGTACACTCCTCCCCAAGTGCATAGCCCATAACCAAAGTCACAACTCAAGACTCATAATCACACACACTCACAAACGCTCTCACCATGCCCCAAAGCTCACATATACCGGTGTGGAAACATTCAGAGCTTTCACACCTGACACACGGCCCCCTCCTGCTCCAACAAGCCCAATCCCAGGCACACTGACAGACGCGACTCCACCTCCTTGCACACCCCCCACTCCACCCGCCAACCATTCACTCTTACACTCCTGCTGCCGCAGAGTCCACCACCTCCGGGGCGCCCCGCCCCCCCAACCTGCACACACCTACGGGAAGTTGCCTAAAGTTGCGGAGCCCCCTCCCCCTCCGCCCGCGGGAGACCTCTATCAGGTTATCAGGAAGTAAATGGGGAGTGCCAAGAAGGAGGAAGTTCTTCCCTACCGGTGTGATGACCTTTGACCCAGAGAGGAGGGTGGCCCAAGGCCCCTTCGAGCGCCCCCACGTGGTCCTCAAAGCCCCTCCCCGACAGGGTACCCTCCCCATATTCCACCCTGGCCCGCCTCTGGGACTTCAGCATGCTCCAGGTACCGGATTGAACCCTGCCCTAGGATTGGATCCGAGGCCCAAGCCCAACCCTAGACGGGACTTGCAGCCCCCGCCAGAGCCTGTCCTTGCCCCAGGCTGGCACACTAAGAGCTGGACGCCGGATCCTGCCCGACCCTGACCTCGCCTGGCTCTCAACCGGGTCCCGACCATGACCCGGGCTGGGCCGATTCCGGAGCAATACACCGCCTGGAGCCCGCCTCCCTGCCGCGCTCGCACATGGCCCCCGAGCCCCGCCCGCCCACTCCCCCAGCGGCGCTCCCCTCCGCCCCCACACCTGGGGCTCCGGCAGGGCGGGCGGGCAGGCATGGGGGCCGAGCGGCCCGGAGCGCCGGGGTAAGCCGGGGGCCACTGGCAGCCCCTCCTCCGCCGCCTCCTCGGGCCGCGCCGTCCAGCCGCGCCGCGTCCCCTCACTCGGCGGCGCCGCCGGCGGCTTGTAGGACACAAAAGGACATCGCGGCCGCTTCCTACTCTGCTTCCTCCAGCTGACAGCGGGGGCGGGGCCGGCCGTGCGCATGCAAAGCAGGGGGCGGGGCCCGGCGCCCTATGCTCATCAGACAAGTGGGACAGTCAGCGCCTGCGTGCTGGGACGAGTTGGGGAGGAGCAGGCGAAACCAGCGGGCGGGCCTTCACCGAGGTCCAGCCCGGCTGTCGCGAACCACGGCGGCGCACTTGCGTACGCGGCCGCTGGGGAGGCGTGATCAAAGGAGACGCAGAGAAGTTCCGGGAGGGGATGGGGCCAAGAACGCTCTTACGTAATGGAGGCGGGGCGCGTTGTGCGCTAGAGAAATAGATGAAGTCTGTCAGTGGTCGCAGCTGCGGGACTGGGAGACAACATACATATGTAAATGAGAGGGCCGGACGGGCCGAGAAGCTAGTGTATCTGCATATGCATGAGGGGCGGAGCCTAGCATGCCCAAGCTTGAGGGCAAGCGCTGCCCCTTACCTTTTCCCCCTTTCCCCAAGATAAGCTCCATCGGGGCACTTGGACCGCAGACCCCATACCTCCACAAAGCTGCGCAACCCTGGATATGAGAAGCAGACCTAAAACATGGAAGAAGTCCTGGATTTCGAGTCCCGGGAAGACGGAGTCGATAGGGCCTGAATGGAGAACGCTCAAGGTCACTGCGGTGACCGAGTGAAGGTCATGGGGAAAGGCGGGGCCGCGTGCGTCCGCCTCACGCGGGCAGCTACGCACTGACTCACGGACCATGCACAGACTCTTTTATTTCTCTAGGGTTCAAATTCCATGTGGATAGGGTCGGGCTTGGGTCTGGGGGCAGGACAGGGACCCGGGTTAAAGTCGGGCAGTCACTCGAGCCTGAAGAGGTGTTTTCAGTACACTGAGACGTGCAGTCTCTTGTTCCGGCGTCTCTTGAGCCCCTCGATGTATCGCTGCAGCTGCTTGGTCAGGAAGTGATCCCTGCCGATCTCTGACCGGTAGCCTGAAGAGAGAGCTCCACTCAGGGCAATTAGCAAGGGCATGGCCTCTCCAGCGGCAGATGCCGTATGTGTGGTTTGAGGAACTGCGGGTGACTTGGGTTGGGAGGAGCTCTAGGCGCTCTGGTCTGTTAGTTTGGGGAACTTTGGATCTCCAAGGTTCTGAGCCCTGCTGGTTTTGTTTGTTTCAAGTCATAGACCTGTGCTCCAAATAGGTGGGGGATGAAAGCAGGATGGGGTAATGGGGAGGATGAATGAGAGCAAGGTTAGGGAAGATGTTACAGGCCTGAAATAGGACAGGGGCAGCAGGCAGCTTTTCAGCTGTCTCCAGACCACCCACCCTAAGCCATTAGCCAGAGCAAACCAGGGGAAGTTTACCCAAATAATCTACTATCCAAAGGTTCTTCACATTACCTAGGGAGGGAGCAAAGGCCACACAAAAGCTGTCATCCCCATTGGACAGGTAAGGAAACAGCCTTAGAAAAGCTACATCAGCTAGAGAGGGGCTGCAATAAGGCTGGAGCCCAGGCCCCTTGCAGATAACCCCATGATCTCCCAACTGGGTCTCTCTGCACCTAGTCCCCAACTTTTCATTTTTTGTGGGACTCCTGGAATTTTTGTGGGTGGTAAGAGAATCTGACAAGACAGACACATCCTGAAACCCCAGTCCCAGGGGCCCAAGCCCTGCGAAATTCTCCGAGGTCTCTGGTGGGAGCTGGGCTCACTCTGGAGGGCTTTGGTGAGGATTTCCAGAGCTTCATTCTCCATGAGTTCCGTCAGGGGCAATGGCAGCTGGAAAGGCAGCAAGAGGCTCAGATGTCCAAGGGACCCCAGCTCTGCCCACAGCTGAAGTACCCCACCTGCTGCCTCCCACCCCAAGACTCCCAACCAACCTGCCTGCCTCTCCACCCTACAAACCACCCCACCCCCTTCACCCCTGCAACCCCAACTTGCCCATCCCCCACCCCACTAAAATCTCATCTCCCTGGATGCTTCCAACCCTGTTCTGCTGCTCCACCCAGTAGGCTCGATGATGGGGTATGTGCTTCAAGATATGGAGTGATGGCATTGAGGAAGATATTTCTGGGAGAAGAGAAAAGAGAGATTAGTCAACTGCAGACTGCTGGGTCTTCCCGGGAGCAGAGATGAATGGGGTGACATCTGGTGGGGCAGAGTGGCCCTCAAAAAACTCCAGATGCCACTTTAGTAGGAAACAATATGAGAGTGGTCTACAACCTGGGGCTTTACTGTCTCACCTACCAAGGCCAGTTCTGACTGCCACACTGTGTGAGACTTAGGGCCAGTAAACAAACTTTCCGACCCTCAAGTTCTTCATCTGTAAAATGGAGTCATAAGAATGAGCCCTTATAGAGGTCATTAAGTTAAAAGGTGATCATGAAAGAGAGGCCCAGTGCCTGGCACACAATAAGCGCTCAACAAATCGCAGTTATTATACTGTTACCGGTTTCAATTACCTGATAAAGGGTTAGGGGGAAGAGGGGAAAGGGGGAGGAAATCCCAAACAGGGCCCAGCATGCAGTAGGTACTTAAAAATTTTAAACAATGACTGAATGAATGACAGGCATCTCCTCAACCAAAACAAATCCACTGACAATGAATTAACTCTCTTCTCTCAATTATCTTGGTGATTTCATTAAAAGCACGGTCCTACCCCGCGCCACCTTTGCGCATTTTTGTGCGTGCCTCTCCTGGATCTGGCATGCGCCGGTCACAAAATCTTGTATGACGCCTGCCCGGTAGGGGGCGCTCCAAGAATGGGTGACTTAAAGCGTGAAAAATTAGTGCTGGCGCCCCTCCCAGGGAATACTAGAAATTTGGATCCTCAGCTTCCCCTCGTTTTACACCAACAGAAATTGAGGCCCTGTGAGCGCCCCTAATCCAATGAGGCCACACTGACCCAACTCGGTCCTGGCATCGTCATCTTCCTCTTCTAAATGGCTTTCCAGGGAACCTATGGGGTGCAGCTCCAGCTCCAATAAGGTGTCGTCGTCCATCTCTTCTGGCTTTAAGTCGACATCGGCTACTCTGTTATCCCATTCTTTCCAGCCTCCGTCCGAGCTGTAGCCGGCCCTTTGATTGTACCACTCGCCAATCTTGCTGCCTAAGCTGCTGCCGTCCAGGTCGGAGTCCTCGGAGACATTAGACCGCTGCACGTTCAGCTTCGGCTGCGACAGTGTGGCCATGGACCACAGATTCCGAATGTCGCTATGCGAGTCCGACTTCAACGAGCTACGGCAGCCCGAAGACTTGGCCATCTCCTGTGGGCCACATACAACGAGAGTCGCAGGGAGTTGGGAAGGGGAGAAACAGCCCGCTGGAAGCGGGGTTCCTGAGCCCAGCCAGGCCAGGACTCCACTCCGGTAAGGGAGTGGGCACTGTTGGGAGCTGCCTAGAGTGAGGGAGAGGAAAGCTAGGGGCCCATGTCGGATAAATGTGGGAGCTGACAGGATGAGGGACCCAAGGAGAGTTCTTACTTTGAAAGTATTTTCCTCCATGGTTCTGTCCCAACGGACCCGGTCGCCACAGGCCTCGGGCGCGGAAGAGGGAGTCACGCTCCAGAAAGGGGGAGGGGCAGGGTCTCATTCCAGAATGGCGATGGGGTCTCAGGAGGGAAGAGTTCGAGCTACAGCCCTCCACACTAGATATCATTATTTCTCTCCCATCCTCCTGCCCAGTAGCTGTGCTGGGGTCACAGCCCATTTTAGCAGATTGCTCAGCGGGACCCTACCCGATCGGCTCCTAGCAGATGCGGGGTCCGACGTGGGTGCAGAGGAGGTCACGGGAAGCCTGATTTGCCCAGAGGTGACCCGGCACAAGCACTCCCCCACCCCTACTCGCGTCCCCGGAGCGCGCACGCCCGCAGCGATAGACTTTTTCATTTATTGATGCAGGCTTTGAGGCACAGTGTGAGGTACTGTGAGGGACAGGCCCAGCCAGGACAGCGAAACATAAAGCTTTGGGGGTCTTGAAATGGATGAAGGAAAGGGCCAGGAGCCGGGGCGGCAGTCAAGCAACCCGCAGCCTGCTCCCCAGGCTCCAGTCGGGTCGAAAGAGGGCTCTTTGGTCAAACAAGCAAAGCATGCCGGGGAGAGGGCAAGAACGAAGCCCTTTGAGGGGCCGGGGCGGGAGGGGGGGGGTCTT